TGAAAGTGAGAGCGATAGCTCAGGTTGAATGGTGCCTTTTCATGATCACCTTTAAGAAACTCATGTATAGATCATATACAAGAAACAACTAAAACACAAGTCCTAGATATGAAAGTATAAAAATAAAGTTCTACCAAATACTAGCAGAGCTGCTAATGCTGTAGCAGTGGGGATCTGGGCTTTAGCAGAATATGCAGTGTTTATTCATTCCAGGGCTTTTGAAGATTGATTTTTAAAATTTTATGTATATGAGTGTTTCGCCTGCATGTATGTATGAGTACCAGGTAGGTGTCTGGTGACTGTGGAGGCCGGAAGAAGGCATTACATCTCCTGGAACTGGTGTTACAGGCAGTTGTGAACCCCCATGTGTCACTAGGAACTGAACCTGGGTCCTATGCAAGAGCAGCAAGTTCTCTTTAACTTCTGAACTGTCTCTCTAGCCCCAACCCGAGGACTTTTGACATGTCATCTCTACCTATTTTTGTCCTAGTCCAAGGTAACCATTTTCAAAGCCTGGCATGTTAAAGGTCTCAATTCTTCTAGATGATTAACTGTGTACCATTGACTTCAGACTTGCATGGTGTCTTGTTATTATTTATATTCGTGCTCTAACTATAACATTTTAAAGCTAGAAACCATGCCTTATCCTTACTAACACATTTCCCCCAGCAGTCTCTCACCCTAGGACTTGCCATACGGTGGGACCATGTCTCTTGGCATTGTCCTACAAAAAGTCAGTAAACATGTCAATGATCTACTGGCAGGTAGCTTGTGAAATCACAATTACAGCTCCTTCATGCCATGTGGGGACTTCGTCAATCGTCTGCTCTTACATTTTCTAATCAACCTCTTAGCCAAAATTTTAAAATGGAAAGATAAAGAGACAGACTAAGGTCAGAGAGTGAAGCAATGAAACAACACTGTGTGGACTTAGTAAATCCAAGAGGTCAGCTGGACTCTAGAGAGTTCCCTCCTCTAAACTGAGCTAGAAATCCCACAGGGTCATAACTATGTGACCTTGAGGACAGGGATCATATACGGTTTGGGCATCTAAACTATGTCAGCTAAATTAACCTAGCCTAAGTTACTCCATCTTGCCCAAAGCAGCCATTTCAGGAGAAGTACCTTTTACCCTACTTATGAAAGAAACCTAGAAGGGAGAAGCAACTTTGAATTCTGAGAAATGGCCTGACCGCACGCCACAGGGTATTATAATCTAGGCCGGCAGTTGACTAACCTATCTTGCTTCTGTAAACCTGTTTCGCTTACCCAAGCCCGGGTCCGCACAATAACCAATAGTTGATTGGTAAATTTGAAGTTTGCTATTTCAAATTTTGCTGTGCTGTATAAACCTGATTGGCCCACCTGTTCTTCTTTCTGTATTCCTATAAATATTCTGGCCGACTGGTGTCCGCTGCTGCTTCTATTCCCGACACAGACAGTCCAGTCAGCTGTAATAAAACTTTACCTTGATGCTTTCAATTATGTGGTGTTGGTGATTTTTATGTTCACTGCTGCTCCTAGTCCTGACAAAGACAGCCTGGTCGGCCAGAATAAAGCTTTACCTTGCTGCTGTCAATTAAGTGGTGTTGGTGATTTTTATTCAGAATCCAACCTATAACAGCATCCATATTTTGGACAAAGTCCAACATTTAAAATATTCAATAAATTATACTGTGAGGTACAAGAAAGCTGTCAGTTGAAGATAATCTAGTTTACTCCTACGGCTCCAAAGCAACATTTTATGCAAAGTTTGCAAGTGTGGGTGTTCAGCTCTGGCTTTGTGAGGTGAGAACAACTGGGGGATGGACACAGAGGCTGCCGCGGTGATTGGCACTCTCAGGCAAACTGAAACAAAGCTGCGAGTGGAAAGTCCTTGGAAACTCACCACAGATGCTTAAGAGGAGATGGGGAAACCATGGGATGATGTTCAGTGCCTGTCCGGCCGGCCACTGGTAAGTGGCTGCAGTACCTCCTTCCTCATGACACATAAAAAGCTGCCTGTTGCAGAGCTCAATTAAGCACAGTGTTTTTAAGTAGACGATATGTAATGTAATTTTATATAAAATTCAATGGGAGCGCTGCAGAGTGTAGGTTAAGATGTTGCATCCCTCTGCCCATAGCCACACACTCTAGAGTTGAGCACGGCCACCAGCACTGCATTTATCTCTTGGATATGTGTGAACATTTCCTATTGGGTTCACGTATGCATGTCTACATATCTGTAGTTTGTGGCAAATGGTTCATGCTCTAACACTATAATAACTCATATTTTTCATTTAGGCTCTTACCTCATAGTTCTTTATATTTTCATGTTTATTAAATGTTTACAGCCTCAGGTTCAAATATGATTGACTTATGGATGGTGTGCAACATTGTTTCAGGTGTAAATGAATGAATGAATGATTTTATAACAGCTTGGGATTCATGAAACCCCATTAGCTACTAGGCATTACACATGCCTTAGTTTAAAGCCAAGCTCTAGCTTCTTCCTATAAGCATGTTATCCATCCTAAAAAGTTCATTCCAAATTCCCTCCTGCCACAATCTTCTCAGCTCGGTTCTTGGTCTCTCTACAAAGCATATTCCTGAGCACTTAATAAGAGTTTGCTATTTTGATTCACCTCCAATTCTAATTTGCTGATACAATAACCATGAGTAGGTAATATTATTCTTAATTTTTATTATTTGTTTGTACTGGTAACTTTTTTAAGCACTGTCACTAATCCCTACAACAGGGGTGGGTAAAGCTCAGGGGAAGAGCACATGTATAGTACGTGAGAGGCCCTGAGTTTTGAACCCCAGGGTCACATGTGCACACGCATGCATACACAGACATATATGCATACATGAACATAACACACATGAACATTCACATATCACACATTCACACACATACACGCATATATATACATACACATACATACAGATGCACACACATAATCCCTACAACACCTCTGTGAAGGCAGTGGTGCTGTAGTCTATGAGGTTGGCCTGCCAGTACCCTGTCAGCCTGTCAGCATCCCTTGACTCACCGTGAGATTGTGTACAAATGTCTCCTTCTAAGCCATCATGGTTTGAATGTGTGATGTCCTCACTGATTCATGATTCATGTGTGTTATCCTTCCTACCACCTGGATGGTGAGCACCTCCATAGAAGCCAAAGTCAGTCTAGCCTGTACCTCGGCTGCCAGTGTCAGTCCAAGTGTTGGAGTCTCCTCCAGCTCTACACACGAGAATGCCCATCTTAGACACTGTCAGCTGAGTGCATGTGCTTCTAACTTGTGGCTGAAATTGTGACTTGAAGAGTTGATAGTGACTGAACACCTTCTCCTCATTTTCTCCAGATAGCAACTTCATCCTCGCCAACGCCCAGGTGGCGAAGGGTTTCCCCATAGTCTACTGCTCCGATGGCTTCTGTGAACTGGCTGGGTTTGCCCGGACGGAGGTCATGCAGAAGAGTTGCAGCTGCAAGTTTTTGTTTGGCGTTGAAACCAGTGAGCAGCTGATGCTTCAGATAGAAAAGTCACTGGAGGAAAAGACAGAGTTCAAAGGAGAGATTATGTTCTACAAAAAGAACGGTGAGTTGCCTTGTGTGGTGCCGGCCGGAGCTGGTGAGAAGTTGCCCCTCCTTCAACTCAGTAGTTGCTCCATAAGTCCTTTCATGGTATTTCACATAAACACAGTCCGTGGGAGAAGCTCCACAAATGGCTTGGATGACGGTCCTGTTTAGTCACCACTAAATCCCCTGTGAATTGACATAGCATTGTCTACGCAGTGTTAGTGTTTGACCTGAGTCAGTATGTTAAAACTACCTGCACCATGACTGCACAGTAGTCGTTCTTAAAGTGCGTGTCGTGAATAGCTGTTGTTAATAAATAAAAAGTGTATGGGGCTGGAGCGATGGCTCAGTAGCTAAGAGCAGCGACTGCTCTTGTGGAGGACCTGGGTTCAATTCCCAGAACCCACATGGCAGCTACAAACCATCCTTAGCTCCAGTTCCACGGGAATCCAAAGCCCTCTTCTGAGCTCCATGGCACTGCACAACATGGGTGCACTCACATACATGCAGGCAATACACTCGTACACATAAAATAAAAATAATAAATAAAATATATAAAAAATAAATAAATAAAAAGTGTCATCCAGGGAAGGTCTCCCAATTTTTATGTTTTTAAGAACTACATCTCAATCCTAGTCATTAAAAATGGAATTGCCAGATTTCCCTGGGGAATAGGAATTTCATGTAGAGCACATCAGCATACACACTTATTTTCTTCAACTCCTCTCTACATAGTCTTTCTCAATTCTTCCTCAAACTGTAAAGACCAAACAAGACAGAGTAGAGTTACGTTGCCCAGACTCAGAGCTACCAGCGGGGAAGTACCAGGTGTTTTCTGCTGGGTGAAGTTTTGTGGGTCTCTTCTCAAGGACAGAGGGCCTGGAGCAGGGCATGGGGTCTGCAGTACTCACATCCTATGTGGGAGCAGATGGCCAGCTCATCGGCCCTTCACAGAATCTAAAAGGTTGCATATGTTAAATAGAAGATTATAGTAAGTCTTCATTTCATTTCATCTTACTAACATAAGCCCCTAAGTTCTATTAGTGTATGGCTACCAAGTTAGAAAATATATTTCTGACATTCTTTGTAGTTGTATGGACATACCAGTAAGATTTTGAACCGTGACCTGTGAAAAGGATTGGTTTATGTGACTTCTAACAAAAGTCTCAAAAATATAATTGTCCTCCCTCTAATCTCTCTCCTACCACCATATTATGGACAGAATCGTGTCTTGACAAGAGATCATAGAACGAGTCTATAACCCCTAATGCAATTGTTTGGAGAGAAACCTTTAAGAAGGCAGTTAAGGTTTAACGAGGCTGTAAATCTGAGGACCTAATCTAATCTGACTTCTGTCCTGCTAAGAAGTGGTAAGAGGGATGTGTGCTCAGTGGGTAAAGACCGTGTGAGGACAAGGAGGAAGGCAGCTCCCCGAGAGTTAAAGAGAGAAACCCAAAGAGGCTCCAGCGTAAGCATCTTGAGCTTGGATTTCACCCATCAGAACTGTAAAAAAAATTCTTATCGTTAGTATCCCATCTGTGGCATTTTGTCATGGCAGCCTTAGAAAACTAAAGTAGGAGGATCAGAAGGTTAAGGCAAGCTAGACATCCAGCTTTGCCCATTTGGCAAGGGATAGAGCAGTGGTGTGGGGCATAGTAACAGGTCAGAGGGCATGTGAATGGTTACCATCCACCTTCCCTTGGAGACCAAAGCAAATACATTTCTACCACAGTTGAGCCCCTGGATTTGGGAGTCTTTACATTATATTGAAGTGGCACTCTAGCTCAAAGCTTCTTGCCCTTGTCAGTGTTGACAGCTGTCAGTCAATCATTGTTGTGAGAGGCCACTCCACGCACTGACAGCATCAGTAGCTCTGTGGTCTGCACACCTTCTTCTTGGTACTTTGAGGCTGCTGATGTCATTGTTAGGAAGAAGCACAGAAGCTCCATCCACCTTTAGAAGTTACTTGTCCTTGGAGGACAAACCCTGACATGTGGACTCCAGACCCACAGTCTCTGTGACCTATTGGAGGACAAACCCTGACATGTGGACTCCAGACCCACAGTCTCTGTGACCTATTGGAGGACAAACCCTGACATGTGGACTCCGGACCCACAGTCTCTGTGACTATTGGAGGACATACCCTGACATGTGGACTCTGGACCCACAGTCTCTGTGACCTATTGGAGGACATACCCTGATATGTGGATTCTGGGCCCACAGTCTCTGTGACCTATTGGAGGACACCCTTCTAGAACAAGATGCCCCAGTTCTTTGGCACCAGAACCATGGTTCAGACCATCCTATTCTTCTCAGGAACAATAGATCAAGCCTACTTAGCAAATATATTGAAAGGAAGGGGTTCAAGCTCTATGTAATTACAACATTAGAGTGAAAAGAGGGCCTGAGATAAAAGAAAATGGAGGAAGTTACAGAGGCTGCAGACTGCCAGAAGGCTGATAAAACTACCATCCCCTGGAACAAAGAGGAAAGGATAGCTTTTGTCCGAAATATCCGCTGACTGCAGTCTCATCCTTCCAGAGGTGCCCTGTGTAAGTCACTCAGAGTCCATTTAGTGTCTTCCTCTTTATGCCTCTTCAAAATATCCAGTGTGCTCCCATCAAGAAATAGTCAATCCAAGGACAATGGTGCAAAGGATTGGGCCTTCGGAGGACCTGTAAGGAAAAAGTAGGCAGCATGTAGTAAAGACCCGGTCTCAAAGGATCTCCTGAACCCATTTTCTTAAAGTATGCCTACAGCCTTGGACATGTGCGGGTGAAAATCATTCATAGCGCCAATCCCCTTTAAACAGTCACCCTGGGGAACTGCCTGGCATTCTGAGCCAGCTAATTGATGTGGTTACATGTGATGAGATTGCCGTCTACCCTGTGCTAATCGTGCTACATCGGAACCATTTAGATGACTATCTGCCTCTGCATGCAGTTGGGACTCTGAAAGTACATGCCGTGCATCATCAGTGACTGTTGCTGGAGCCTTGCGTCAAGGGGAGCATTTGTCAGATGGTAATTCCCTGGTAAATGCTTGCAGAGGGACATGGAAAGGAATTCTTAGGGGGATTTATGGATACCTGATGGGATGTCTGCATTTCAGACTTTTAAAAATATGCTTATGACCTCAAAAGTCTAACTTCTCTCCCTTAAGGATATGATGACTTTGCTGTGCTCTGGAATTCCCCTCTCCTGGCTCCAGAGTCAGGACGGATGAATCTCATGCCCCTTTGGATATTTATAGCTGAGTCTTGTGGCTGGTGGTACGCCTTAAATGGCTCCCCGTCGTTTGCCCCTCGCAGACAGTTTAGATTTCTTGCAGTTCTCACCCTCCCTCGGCATTTATTGACTACCATCTTCTTCTCTTCCCGTGGGAAGTTACAGATGAGCGTATCCATCTCTCCTCACCGAAACACGCCAGACTGAGAAAACAAACGTATGCATTCCTTCATGCTGTTACGTTTTCTCAAAAGTAGGAAGCCCAGCATGGTCTACATGGTGAGTTCCAGGACAGCTGGGCTACAGGGAGACCCTGTCTCAAAAAGACAAAAAAAGTAGGAGGCTCCCTCCAAACTGGTCCAGAGTTGGCCTGGCAAGAATCTTCTCTCTAATCTCGACTTCAAGGTTGCTTCTGTCTTTCCAAAGAGCTGATCCACAGAGCTCACCACGCTGTGGGTCAGATCACCTCCAGCTTTTCCTGCTCTTCCTTAGGGTCCCTCAGCCAGACAATTGTCAGGCTGAGATACATGTGACTCGACACATTCTCCCTTTTGCTAGCTTCCTTGTTAAACTTTAGTGACAGGGATTAATACGCCTTCTGTATATCACAGAAGGCCATCATGACTGGAACTATCAGTCCCAGCCCCCATATGTTCATCAGAACACTTCTTCTCTGTAGAAAATTTAACTTCTGTTTGTAGCTGTACCACCCTGAACATACCCAGTCTTCTCTGATTTTGGAAGCTAATCAGGGTCTGGCCTGATGAATATTTGGATGGAAGAACTAACCTTCTAAACTTATTTTCATATTATGAAGGTCTGATAACATCACTAGCCTTCTCTGGGAAGAAGAAAAACATGGCTTCCAGGAATAGGCCAAAGATTTAAGCAAACTTAAAATGATATATTGTAATTTTACAAAAATGTTTTCTTGGTACATTAGTGTGTTCAAGACACTGTCATAGAGGATTGCAAACTGGGCATCTTAAACAGCAGGAATCTGTTGTCCCACAGTTCTGAGGCCTGCAAGTCCAAGAACAGTTGTCTAAAGGATTGGTTAGTTCTGAGGACCATGAGGAAGAGTCTGTTCCTCATCTCTCAACTTGTGTTAGGTGGTTCCATGGCAATCTTTGACACATGTTGGCATGAGGAAGCTCAGCTCTGATCTCTGCCTTCCTTCTCACATCGAGCTTTCCTTGTGCGGGTGTCTGTGTCTAAATTCCCCTCTTCTGAAAAAATATTCTTATAGTTTGTTTTTCATTTAGCTTTTGAAAATTTCATATGACATATTTTGATCATATTTATAGGCCCTCTCCTATCTGTACATCCTTCCTATCCCCACTTGATTTCATGTACTCTGTCATATACGCACACACACACACACACACACACACACACACACACACTCCTGTAGAGTCAAGTTTGTTTCCCCGGATGCCCTTCAGTGTGGATCCATCCATTGGAGACTGGCTAACCTGCCCAGAGGCACACCCTTAAAAACTGACTCTCCCCTCCCAGTAGCTATAGGTTGACAATAGTTCCTCAGGTAGGGTTGGAGTTTCCCATCTATTTCCCCAGGTCTATGCTGGGATTTTTATCTCTGCCTTCCACGGCTCCTCATTGTGGAAGAGAGGGTAGAAAGACTGCAAGGGGCAGACATAGTGGATAACTACAAAGAAATAGTTTTCAGGACAGCTGGGCAGTTACTCCTATGAACTCACAACAATAGTGCCAGCATGCACAAGTCCTACATAAGATCAAGCCAAATCCTCCCTTTTAGAAATTTCTTATT